GATTCCCGCCTGCCCCGGAGGTGACCACATGGCGTGGCAGACCTCTCCTGACCCGCCCGCTGCTCCCCTCAGCAGTGTATTTCGTTGATCTGCCTGTTCTGCACTCCACTCTGACTCTGGTGAATTCTCTCACCCTCCACATCTCTGGCCTGTATCCCAGTTCTGTATGCACAAATAAAAAAATAATAATAAAAAAAATAAAAAATCTTAAAAAAAAAAAAATAATGTATGTAGGGCCTCCACGGTGGCCTAGAGGTTAGGTCTCAGCACTACCCCCCCAAATGCTACCACAATGGCATGAGTTCAATCCCTAGCCAGGGAGCTAACCCACATGGTATAGCAGACTCCTCTTGTCTTGCCCAATGCTCCCCTTGTATTTCAATAGATCTGCCAGTTCTGCTCCCTACTGTCTCTCATGAATACTCTCACCATCCCTCCTCCAGCCTGTAGCCCAGTTATTGTATGCAAAAATAAATAAAATCTTAAAAAGAAAAATGAATAATAAAATAAAATAATGCATGTAGAAAGCCTATCACCTAAATATACATATTCATATACATATGATATAAATATACATATGATAATTATTGGTATGAGTATAAGTATTTATGATGGGAGTAACCACATAAATGGAACTGACATTCTCAAAGAGAAAACATAAGGAGAAGAACAAGTGAGAGCAGTGTTTGTAAAAATGAATAAGTCATTAATTTGATTTTCTCTTCAGCAGATTAGTGTATCAGGAGAGTAGTAGAGAAGTCCATCATTCTTTTCCAAAAACAACGCAAACAGACATACATGGGTGGAGGGAGGGACACACATGCCCATGACCCCTTCTCAAAAAGATCATTCTTCCTTAGTTCCTAAGAATTGCTACATATTTGACACCACTCCCATGATCACTAGTTGGATTAAAGATTGACACACAATCAAATTATAGCAATCAGATTCTTTCTCCAGAGAACTTAAAAAATAAGCGATGTCATATAATCTTAATTTGAATCGATACAGTTGAAATGACTATTTTCTGCTTTATGCACAAAGAAGCAGATAATCCAATGTCCAGAAAAAAGAATAGAGCAGACCATCAGAGATCATGTGTATAAATAAGAGAGAATAGCTACACTAGTTCCTAACAGTTTACCAGTGTGGTGCTAGTCCATATTGAGGGTCTTTTATAATTCCTATCCTTACACTCATGAGATAACAAATTTTCTCTCTACCTTGGCCTAACTTAAATAGGTTTCTGTGTCCTTACAAAAACAGTGAGATATTTTATCAAGAATCTTTTCCCCTTAAATTCCTTGTACCACATATAACTCTTTCCCATTTAGACAAACTCTGTGGCTCTTGAAACATAGCAAAATGTTAGATAAAAATAAATTGTTTCACTCCCTCCCTGGTGGCATAAAGGATTAAAGCACAGTTGTGTGAAGCTATCGGCATGAGTTAGATCCCCAGCCCGGGAGGTGACCCACATGGTGTGGCAGACCTCTCCTGACCTGCCCACTACTCATTTCAGCAGTCTATCTCACTATTTCTGCCTGTTCTGCTCCCTGCTCTGTCTCAGGTAACTCCTTTTGTTAAGCCCCTCTGTCTAGGCCCCTCGGTCTGGGTCTCTAACTCACCCTGGACCCAGAAAGAAGGGCGGGCAGATAGCATTCCTGGTGACAGCTCCTGGAACCGCTAAAACTAAACCCTGATATCAGCTCCTGACTCATGACTGAGACATCTGTTCTTAGAAGCCCTTCCTTGAGTGCTGTGAAGTTTGTTACTCTTTGAATTTGCACCGGTTATGACGTATGAAATGGCCGATAAGGGCCTATATATTCTCTGGCATTCCAATGGTCTGGGTCTTGCTCTCCTAGCGTGGCCTGCATGCCTGCAGTAGGGCTTGACTCCAGCTAGCTGGCTTAATAAATTCTGCTTGCTTGTACAACTCTGGTCCTGTTCTTTGTCGCGGGGGACAACTGGGTGATTTTGGACCTTAACACTTTCACCCCCAAACCTCTGGTCTGTACCTCTTATATATATAAATAAATATATATATTTTAAAAATAGATTGTTTCATTACTTTTGAATTTTGAAAGTTAGGAATGTTTAGGAGAATAGACAACTCTAGCAAAGACAGTAGACCTTACTTGTATATAATTGGATTATATTTGGGTGCAAGTAGCAGAAAACTATTGTTGTCTTAAATAATTATGACTCTGTTAGTCTCATATGAAAAGTTCACAGGTAGACCCTGTAGATGGGATGTAGTGAATCCAATGTACAATAAACCAATTGCATTCTTTCTGTTCTGTCACCTTGGTGTCCTTATATTTGCCCCCTCAGTGTCACAAGATGATGAGTGTATCTTCAGGTGTCAAGGCTAAGTTCCACATAGGAAAAGAGCAGAATGACAAAGAAAAGGAGCTTTCTCCTAAGTTTTTCTTGCCTTTTTTATTTGGAAAGAGTAGTCACATACACCTCAGATTGGCTAGAACCAGGTCTTACATTGATCCTTAGGAGCAAAAGAAGCTGAAGATATATAAGCATTTAGATCTCAAACTTAAAGGGTAGAGGAAAGCAATGGAGAAGGTGATTAGAAATGGATAGTGAGTAAAAAATTCAGTATCTGCCCTAGAGAGACTATCTAACAATCTCTACATAATAGATAGCAAAGATAGAAGAAAAGTTAGAACTTAAATATTCATGAATTCTTGGTAGTGGTGAGGATGGTGACACCTGAGGGTCCTGGGTGTATTCTGAGGCAAGAATTTCACAAAGCGCCATAGAAAGGCAGCAGCAAAGTTTTCTAGCAAGTGACAGAACAGAATACTGCTTCTGCACTCTCAAAAAGTAGGAGAGCTATCCTAAGTTGTAAAACAGTAGTTTTTAAAAAAAAATTGTCCTTTCCATAGTGGTTGTAGCAGTTTGTGTTCCCATCAGCAGTGCAGGAGAATTCCTTTTTCTCCACACCCTTGCCAACACTTATTGTTGCTTGTTTTTTTAATATGTGCCATTCTCGCTGACGTGGTTTTGATTTGTATTGCTCTTATTACAAGTAATGTCTTCGTAGCTCTTCTGCCCATTTTTTGATAGAGTTGCTCCCTCCCTCCTTCTGATCCCTCTCTGTCCCTCTCCCCTGTAGGATATCTCTGGTTCATAATTGTCTGTTTTTGTTTTGTTGTG